TCTCTCTCTCTTTCTCTCTCTTTCTTTCTTTCTTCCTGGTACAGGGGATCAAACTCAGGATCTTGCACTTCCCAAGCAGGCACTTATGCTGCTGGGCTATATTCCTAGTCCAAGACGCTGTTCTTTTAGCTCACCACATTCCTGCACCTTGAAACCACCCAACATGCAGATCAATGACAAGAATCAGTGCTGTGTCAGCAAATAGAAAACTAACTGGACCCTCACTCAGTAGAGCGTCTTTTCCTAGGTTTGATTTTTATTTCAGTGATGACCACCTTCTGCTACTTTGCCCTGTTTTCCCCTTCACTGTGATACTTCATAATATGTGTCTTAATACTTCTAGGCATAGAAGTATTAAGACACATACTTCTAACATTAATCATGTTGATGACATCTCTCACATCTGTTATGGCTACCCCTTTAATATTTCATCTTTTCCTTCTGAATTCCTTAACTCAGGGCTCAAGTTATGTGGTCTGATCAAGAGCCACAGTGCATTAAGATCATGTTAAATTATAAAAGATCTATAACCTTTAATTCATTAGAAAATCCTTTCCTGTGAAGACAGACCTTAGTTTCTGTCACTTTTGAAGCAGTTTTAGAAGTTCTCCTTTTTTGATTCTGTAGTTGTGCTGAGGTGGCTACGTCACTGCCCCAATCAATTAAAAATGTTTCCATTTCATCGCCATTTTGCCTTAGGAGAAGAGCCAGAAGGAGCACAGGCCCATTCCAGTGAATATGGTGGGTGAGGACCCCTGTAATGTTTGTGTTGGACAGAAGTTGATGTATCAGATGCAAAGTGTGATGCAAGTATTGTGACGATGAAAGGTGAAGCCATCAGCCCAAGTTTCAGGTCTTTTTCCACATTCATCATGTCTTGCCTATTCTAACAAGCCATTATGACATTCAGAGCTTCCTGCAGTGCGCCTAGGTATAAAGTTGGCCCCATTTCATCAAGGTAAAAACACACAGCCAATTTGATGTGGAAGCTTACTGGACACACGTTTGTGTGGATGAGTGATGTTGAGAATTCTGAATCCTGGAGCAAGGATTTTTAACTGCAGACAAAAGATTCATCTTCCGTGTTGCTATTTCTTAAAAGGTTAGGATCTGAAGTGGCCTGATCCAAGAACGGTGATGAAAGTCACACACTGTTCTTTGTGCTTGAAAGTCAAAATGCAGGGCATAAGTTTGCCACTCGTTCAGCTCATGTTCAAATCCTTCATTAAAGTGCTTTGCATGGAGCAATGAATGGAGTCAGATCCACGTAAGTTTCTTAGGCAGCCAATCACCTGTGTGCGAAGTCATTTTGCTGGTTTTACAACATTCTTTTGGGTTTTTGTGTCAAATATTGATCCAATCTTGCACATTTTGATGAATTAACAAGTATTGCAAAATCACTGGAACCACTATTAAAATTTTATTATTATGATTTCACCTCATATGGAAGACCCCTGTCTTTCTGTCAGATGGAGCTGAGTAGAGGCATTCACCATGTTTTTTAAAACTCACAGCTCATCAATGGGCATGGGGACAATTTCCTTGAGTGTTCCAAATCAACTGTTCTCCTCTTATGCAGCTCTCAAGACTGGCAGAATACTTGGTCTTGGGGCTATGCATTACACACCAATTCTAGAGATGCAATGGAAGGCAGAAATTTAATTTTTGAGAGAAACTATCTCTTGGATCTAGGGATCTGTGGTTATCTAGAAGGTTGTCCATTATATAAGTGAACTCACATCAAAATAGCAGAATTCACAGCTACAGTTTTAGTAATAAAGCAATAATTATAAAGTACCAGGAGGTACCAGAATGCCTGTAATAGTTTTCTTCAAGGAGGACAATGTGAGCAAGTTGGCAATTATAGGAAGAATAGGATGTTAGTGCTCAATATAAGTGACCCGCTTGAGCCTTTTTTATGGTTTGGGTTTAGTATGTCTCCCCAGATGACAGTAAGGTTGAAGGTTTGTCCCTGATACAGCAGTGCTCAGAAGTCAGGCTCAAGAGAAGTGATCAGGTGGGAAGGGGTGAGACCCCCATGTAGCAATTCATGGTTGAGGTCATAGCAGAGTGACTGTTAGGAGGAAGTTCTAGGTACAGAGTGGCACAGGGTGGCTGTGGTGAGTGCAACTTTTCCTGGCTGTTCTGTTTTTTCCCCTTTAACCTCTGCTTCCAGCCCCCATGAGGCAGGCAGGATTCTTGGATCTGCTGTGCCTCTCTGCCAGGAAGCTGCTGTTACAATATACGGCCAAAAACAAGGGCAATTTAACCTGTGAACCAAAGTACAACTTCCTCCTCTAAATTTCTTTTTTAGTTTTTATCCTGTAAATCCAAGCACAGGAAACATAAAGAAATCATTGAAATGTTTTATTTTTATCTAGGAAAAATCATGGAAATTTGAGAAATAAATATTGCATAAAACTACAATGTCTGGGAGAAAGTTCACGATTGAATACTATCATTGATTATTTAATTTTCAATATTGAAATCCTGGATTTGAAATATTTAAAACTAGTTTTTGTTTTTATTTTCCACACAGTGTCTGGACAAGTGGCTTAGGTTGTCATTGATCTCACTACCCAAGCTGGCTTCAAACTCAAACGTATCTTCCTCCCTGAGCATCGTGAGTGCTGGAATTACAGGCGAGCATCATCAGACCTGGCATAACGAAGTGTTTATCATAGTCGATATCTTGAGATAGCACCTGATTGAAATCCTGAAGGAGTACAGAAAATTGGAAGGAGTTGAGCACCAACACGTACACATAACCACACATGCTATAGTAGGAATAATAGCAAATGATAGCTGAAATGGCCCATGTATTATTTACCTTTACGTGTCCCTGTGCCATTCACAGTATGGTTCTCACCATGCATTATAAACACCGCATTTCCTAACTAAGAAAAGCATTTTTTGAGGGAAAAATTTTAGGACCCAGCTGAAGACAAAGGTGTCTAATGGCATCAGTTCTTCTGTTGTTTACACAACAGAGGGACCCTGAACCACTGATGTCACTGACCACTGTGCCAAGACCGCAGTCCTGACTCTCGGCAGCCTCCACTCCAGGGCTTAGGGGATCTCACAGCAGGGTCATCTCCATTTTCATCATCATAAACTTCCTGAACTCTTTGCCAAGGACAGTCCCTTTTCCAGGCAATTGGTCCTTGATCTTTGCCTTCCAGGGAAGACTTCTGGATTTTTGTTGATTTGAGTGACCTAGAGTCCCTGTTTGTCTGCATCTAGGCATGAATTCCAGGGTCATCATCTTAAATTGGAGGAAACAGTGATTCATAGTCAGATAACTGGGTCTGACAGTGTTAGTCAGAGTTTCTGTCTTCATGAGTTTAACTATAGAGCTAAAGGTCGGTGTGCTGGGAGAATTTGTAGACTCCTAACCAATTATAACAGCAGACTCTTTAGTTCACAGAAGAAAAACTTATTATCTTGGACTCTGGAAATTGAAGCATGTATGAGTCACACATATATTGAAGAAACATGGCATGAAGGTTTGTATATTCATAATAAATGTCTTGGTACTATCATGAGGTATTTAGTTTATTTTTTGTTGCTGTAACAAAATTTCCTGAGGTCACGTATTTTAGAAAGAAAAGAGATTTATTTAGTCCACAGTTGTTCAGACTGAAAACCTAATGTTGAGCAGCCACATGGAAACATCACAACCCTGCAGATGACGCCACTAGTTAGCTGAGGATGACGTGTTAGTGACAA